GTACAGCGATATGTCAATTTTTGCGATATCGATACCGGCTCGGGCTGCAAAGTGTTCTACGCTAAAATCTAAGACCTGTTTACGTAAAGAATTTTTTGATACGAGTGCATCTTTGGGGTTACCCAAGGCCTTGAGATTTAGCATGGAGTTCTTATGGGAGAAAAGTCCAAAAAGTGACTTTTCTGTTTTAAGCTGTCAACTGAATTTTTGTGGCGCAAAACCATTTGGGAATGCAATGTACACTTAAAAACGAATCCGAAGACGTGCCACACTTTATGTTCCTCGCCGACAGTCCTCAGCTGGAAAGTGTCAAAAGCCGAATTAGCGCCAATTTTTGCAAAATCGCAGTCCTACAGCTGTGGACCTTTGGGGCCAAATACAACGTGTGGCACATGTCCGGATGAGTTTTCTCGCGTATATTGCATTTCAAAATGGTCCGGTCGAAAAAAAATTCAATTTAACACTAGAACTACCGGAGGGGTCAAAATGACCCCTTTTGATTTTGAATTGCCAAATGAACTATCAAAAAAATTTTCTACCGACCCACCACTTTTTGACTTTTCATGGGTCACCAAAATACGCCTTGACACGAAAAATCAGGCATGTGCGTCAAAGACTTTAGGGGATATTATAACATATACCTCGCTCTACCGAAGGTGTCATTTTGACCCCTGTATTAGTTTCCGAGGGCTTTGATGGTTTTAACGAGCGTTTTCCAACTTAAACATTGCCATTGTTGTTCTGTGTGGTAAGTATTGACTTCCGCTTGGTCGTGTGACAATTTTGAACCTCTAGCAACGGTTCTGTCGGCCTGCAAACGCGTTCCATGGCCGAACAAAGGTTAAAAATGTTAATAAATGGTCTATTACGACTGTTATTGGATGATATTTGTATACACTGAAAAAAGCGTAATAACGCATGTTTCCGCATGTTATCACTAGATGATAACGCGGTGCACATTTCAGTTTTACACTGTGAAAAATAGTCGTACAGGGTACGGGAAAATTTTCCATGACAAATGTCGTACACTTACA